AGAAAAGTGTTAAAACGATGAAAGGAAAGATTATTAGAATATAATATCACTTGTGAGTTGTCTCAAATTGTTTATACAGACAAAATAAGTGGGTTAATCCTCTTTTCACCCGTTTGCTTTCGATTCTTACATACTATCAGAGTCGGTTCTACGTGAGACTGTGCATTCTTTTTTTTTTTTTGGTACAATGAAAACGGCCAACTGCCTTAAGCTAGCACTTGGCGGGGATACGACACCCCAGAAATATCGTGATCAAGCCAGACACCCACCCCAGCCGGAGGGGAGACCAATCGGTATAATCCAGGCGGATAGGACACCGCCATATTCGCCAAATGATCGGCGGCAAAATTTACTTCCCTATAAATATGGTGAATACGAACACTCCAATCTCGATTGAGTAGATCCCGAATTGCTCTAGTCATAGCCTCATGAGGTCCCAGAGCTCCGGCCGCCTCGCAAACCATTCCTTTCACGCAAAGACTATCAATCTCGGCCACCACCTTCCTGCACCCCAAATCCCATGCCAACATAAGTCCTTGAAATAACCCCCACAGCTCGGCTCTTGTGCATTCTAGAATATAATAGAATATAATACCATTTACGAGTTGTCTTACATCTAAATAGGTCTAACTTATAATCATGACCTAATCCTCAAAGGTGCATTGGTGGTCAAGTGACAACATTATGAATTTGTGAAATAAGTCTTCAAACAACACGAAGGCCCACTTGTGTGGTATGAAATGAATCAACACCACCAACTTACGTAAATAATATTAGTCGCGTGAAGAAAACACAGCCAATAAAATGCTTAAAGTCGGGGAGAAAGCACTTGTTTAGTGAAATATCAGTTTCAAAACAAATAAATAAAAGTATATGTATGGGTGAAAAAATTGAAAGAAAAAGTATATGAATTGGAAGTGAATTTCATGTATAGAGCATAATGTTAAGCGCTTGTCCCTCGACTAAAGCTGTTTAACAAAACGAGTTGTTCGTGAGCTCGGCTCAATTGTTTTGGTAAACAAGTTATGTTTGAACTCATTTAGTTAACGACTGAAAAATATGAATTCTTTTTGAATATCGAAGACTCTTACAAGCAAATTTGACTCGTCAAAGTTCGAGTTCAACTCGTGAATGTTGATAAATGAGTCAAATCAGCTTTACTCGGCTTAATGAAGACTCGTGATCTAGTTTGAGTATCAAGAGCTCGAGCTACCTCGTCATTAAGCATGGCTGGGTCGTGACAATATATGAGAAAATAGAAATAATAAACAACAACCTAACGACTTAATTTTTATTTTAATTTTTTTACTTTTATTTTTTTTCCCAACTTGCATGCATTTATCGGGAAACTGAGGACCGTTTAGACTTTGGACTTTGCATGCACATTTAATGGGCCAGGCAGCCCACACTATGTTAGGCATGGGCTAGGTGGGACGGCTAGAGA